ATTATTATTATTATTTTTATTTATTTATTTATTATTATTATTATTATTAAGATTATTGTTATTATTATTATTATTATTATTGTTATTATTATTACGAGAGTGAGAAAGGAATATTATTATTATTATTATTTTTATTTATTTATTATTATTATTATTATTATTATTATTATGATTATTATTATTATTGTTTATATTTTGATGAGAGTGAATAAGGAATATTATTATTATTATTACTATTATTATTTTATTATTATTATTATTATTTGTGACCATAATTGACAAAAGGTACCTTATGGTGGATTTAAAAATTCGTCATTAAAATGGAAAATATCAACCTGTGAGTGCTTTGTTGGGCAATCATTGTTTCTAATAGTTATATAGTAACTTTTTGTATCCTGTGGAGTAATTTTATGATAAATGGAGCTCAGGAAGTTAGATTTTTTGGGTTTAATGACAAATTTCACTACCCGCCATAAGGTACCTTTTGTCTATTATGGTCACATTTTATTATTATTATTATTATTATTATTATTATTATTTTTATTTATTATTATTATTATCATTATTATTGTTATTATTATTAAGAGAGTGCGAAAGGAATATTATTATTATTATTATTATTATTATTATTATTGTTATTATTATTATTGTTATTGTTATTTTTATGAGAGTGAGAAAGAACTATTTTTATAATTATTATTGTTTAGTGTTGTTCTAGTTCTTTGGAACTAGAACTAAAAAGTCATTTAGTTTCTTTATTTTTAGCTAGTTTTAGTTCCTAGAACTAAAACTATAACTAAACTGACGGTTTTCTAGCTATAGAACTATAACTAGAACTGGAACTAATAGCTAACTCTTCTTTGAACTATAACTAGAACTAGAACTATTTGTAAATTAAGGTTGGTACTAGAACTAGAACTACAACTATTATTTTTATGGAACTAATGCTAGAACTACATGCTATTGACTACATAAAATGTTGCCAACTAGCTTGATTAGAGCTTATGTCATTGAAAAAAGTGTCAAAATAAAGGAAAGAGAACTAAACTAGAACTAGAAGTACACTAGAACTAGGGAAACCAGGAGCTTGGAACTAGAAATAGAACTATAACTATGTAGAGTATATGCTTGGAGCTACAACTAAAACTAGAACTGTACAAACTAAAAATTTGGAACCAGAAATACAACTAAGACTAAGCAAATTAATGGCTTAGAACTAGAACTAAAACTAGAACTATTTGAAAAGTAAGAACTAGAACAACACTATTATTGCTGTTATTATTATTATGAGAGTGAGAAAGGAATATTATTATTATTATTATTATTATTATTATTATTATTATTATTATTATTATTATTATTATTATTATTGTTATTATTAATTATTATTATTATTATTATTATTATTATTATTATTATTATTATTATTATTATTATTATAAACTAACCAAAATACACCAAGTAGGACAAAAGTAGTTTAGGAATAGAAATAGTGTTGGAAAAAAAATTAATGTAATAGTAATTTGTTCATTTTAGTGCATAATAATGTTATGGGGGAAACTGTCAGCCATATTCATTGATCTCCATTTGGTACGTGTGCCCCTAAGACATAAGATTGTGGCTCTCAAAGTTGAGAAAGTTAGATGAGTCCTAATCCACCCTAATACCTGAGCATAGTTGGTGTTCCATTATTATTATTATTATTATCATTATTATTATTGTTATTGTTATTATTATTATGAGAGTGAGAAGGAATATTATTATTATTATCATTATTATTATTATTATTATTATTTAGTATTATTATTATTATTATTTTTATTGTTATTATTATTCAGAGAGTGAGAAAAGTCTTCAACATCTTGTGAAACAGTTCAGAGGAATAGGACTGAGTATGAATACAGGGGAAAGAAAGTATTGAACAAAAAATATCTATAACAATAAGTTATTTCTTATCTTTTAGAAATAGATATGTAAGAAGCTCTTCTTGTTCGTATACAGTATCAGAAATGGTACTTACAAGAACTTGAGGAGGCATTTCCTTCAAAATGGAATAAAACCTAGGTAAAAATAATAAGAATAATCCAAAGGAGAGTAATTAAAATTTTTAATGAAGGGTTCATGGTAACACTGGTCGCATTCCTTGTCATGCTGTTTCTGTGGAAGGCATTAAAGATGTGGTAGCATTTTTGGAGAACTATGCTGAAGACTACACCATATTACTACCTGGGAGGATACCTGGAGTGAGAGATTATGGGAAGGCCAAGCTATTGCCGTCCAGTGTGTCCCGACACAAGGTTTACCGGCAGTATGCTGATGCTGGTAGGGAACATACTCTCTGTCAAAGTAATTTACGGGCGATATTGAAGAAATTTTAGTTAGTTGTATACCAACACTTGATCCTTTTATTGACATTTCTGATGGTGGGGCATATGCTTGTTCATATCAATTTATTACTATTTTAACGTTATCATTTTGTTTAGCGTTTCTCCTACACAAAAAGTTAAAGTGTATATGCTGATAAGGACCTTAGTGTGTAGATTGCTTCTTCTTATCATTATTTTTTGATTTATTTGTTCATTAATTTTTTATAAATGTGTTACTGGCACTAGATTAAAGGTGGATCGGTATTTTAAGTGTGAAAACTGCTTATGGTATTTGTTCATTGATTATTGTTTTATTAGAATTAATTTGTTTAAAGGTCCTACTTGTGCAAATAGAGTATCGAAGAGTAAAAGTAAAAGCGCATTCTCTATCTCAGGATTTAAATAAAGAAGTTGCCTTTTCTGTTAATGGTATAATGGATGCACACGTTTTAACATAATCAATTTAATTTTTTGAATGCACTTGTACAACTAGAGTTACAACTGGTACAAGTCAAATTATCATCTTTTTCTCTCTCTTTTAGTACAATGAACATCTCATAATCAAGAAACAGTTTGTTCTATGGACATTGCCGTATTCTTTAAAAGATTGTGTTAATGGTTGCTGAGTAAGTAATTTTCACATGCCCATGTCTCTGACTGTAAAATGTATTTTGTCATTATGTCTCAAATAAACGCTTGATTTTAGATTCATTAAGGCATCAGATTCAATGAAGGACCATTAATAATATAGCATTGATATTGCCTGAGCACAGATGGCAGTAAAGTTACCATTGCAATTACTGGCAATCATTACTTTTGTTATTAATAACCAGACATTGCATGATGTATCTACCTTTCATCTACCATGTATTTAAAATTTTTCATATTGTATGTACTTTTGCTAACACCATTAGTTTTACTTTCATGTATTTACTTGTATTTTGCTATAAGCTTATTACAACATAAATATTGATAGATAACTACACTAAATATGTATTAAGTTATATTTTTAAAATAATGGTTTATTTTTTTTATGTAACTATCAGTTATCCTGAAATGAACGACAGAACTAACATGGTAGGTAAGTGTGTGTGTGAAAACAATTTTTACTGGAGGAGTACTTAACAAGCTGGAATAATGCTACTATGCTAGCTAGCATTACAGCATTATGGGAACTATACAACATGCAAAATAGTTTTTAAATTTGACCTACAATACCTTCATGGCGATTGTTTCATAGTAATGGCAATTTTTAAAAATCAATTTTATTAGTTGCAAGTCCTAATTCAATATAATTCTTTGCTGCATTGATAAGTTTTTAGTTGTCATATCTACACTCCTTGTTCATTTATTTTTGTACTTGCATGTTACCATGTACTACATTAAACCATGTACTACAATAAACCATGTACTACATTAAATGAGCCTTCTTTTTCTCTCAATTTGTAGTAAATTCATGACAAGTACAGTAGTAATAATTCTAAAGTAGGCTGAGGTATTTAATTATTGTAATATATATTTATGAAAATTTTGCACAAAATTTAAATGCAGTATATTCCATGTGTCAAAACTGCTTTTTAGAACATTATTCTATGAGATTTTAATTCTATGTTATGATATTTTGTAATCATTTTTTGTAGTGCAGTTGGTATTATTTGTATAAAACAGTGCATTTTGTACTTTATGGATGCTTATTTATTAACAAAATGTGGCATGCACCATTGCAAATGTTGAGTTTTGCCTTGTGAGCATTTTTGCCTTAAAAGCATCACATTACCTTTTTTAGAGTGTCTATATGTAGATTAATGTTTCTTAAACTTGAAGTTATGTGTGTGTACCTTAATAGGTCTGTAAAAACTCGGCTGAGAGTACTAATACTAGTACAAAGTTAACAGCTCTACATTTCTTTGTTTTTATTTACTGATTGTTTTATGTTGTTTCTTTTAATGATCAATTTTTTATGATTCTCATTTTTAAAAGTAATATGATTATACAGATAAAACAGTATTAATGTTATAATTTTAATGATTAATCTGGCAAAACTAGTGACAGTAAAGATTTAATTGAAACAAGATATTGTTGCAAGTCAGAATAGTAAAATAGTGAATCACCACCGTCTTCAAAAGTCAGACCTCTCCACAATGACTTTGTCCCTTATATCAAAGGTTTGTTGCTTAACTCACAGGTGTATTCCTTTCTAAAAAGGAATAAAGTGTGCATTTGATCACAAAACTTATCAGTGGTTCTGGAAACTTCTTTGCTAAGGAAAAAGTGATCTCTGCTGCTTTTGCATTTAGATCTACAATCAAAGTCAATAAGATAGCTACCATGTCAGTATAAAGCATTGTTGCTCAATTTGTGGCTTTAGCTTGTACTTTAGAGAACCAGGAGCCGAGATCTATGCCGAGATAGAGGCTTTCCCTTATGCGCGTACAGCTGAAGGAGGAGGAGCTTACAGAGATTCAAACAGGACAGACGGCCATCTTTATTTCAGTGACATGGCACACCCACCCCTTTTACTGCCAAAAGCCATGAATATACTCACAGAAGTCATGTGACTTCCGCATTAGCATGTAGGATGACGTCAGATTAAACTATATTCATAAAAAGATTAATGATATTCATGGTTAATGTAAGTATATTCATTAGTGCAATAACAATATTCATTGCTAAACATTAATGCTTTGACTTTCTTGAAATGGTACTTTAAAAATCACTACAAAATGAACAGAATTATTAATGATAACAAAACTCCATCAGGTAATAGAAAAAAGTAGTGTTATGACGTGCAATCAATAAAATGATAAATTGCTAGTTGTTTATATGTTAAAATCCATGTCCGATAAATGCCACTGTACACAAGGCAAATGAGAATATCAGCTTCAACTGCAACTGAATCTACAATGAAAAAAGGAAAATAAATTTGCTTAGTAATTGCAACAAGTAAGTTCATAAAGTATGAAAAGTTATGCAGGAATTTTTTTTTTTATATTTAAAGTTCAATGATCTATAACTTATATACAGTGTATGGTAAAAATTTAAAAATAGCACAAGGTGTATAACTTTTTATTTCCTATAAAATGGCATCAATAAAAAAAATATTAAAATTTCATCCAAAAGTACCTTAAGGAGTATCTACATGTACATGTACATGCATATAGGATAAATATAATAGAAAAATGGGATATTTCAAGAGACCTAATGAGAGTCTGAGCTCTCTCTAGATCTAACATTGAGAGAATGACCATACACTGTACCGTAGCAATGCTAGGATGACAGAAACAAGCTGCATAATGTAAAGATGATGACTTTAAGCCACGATTAACATCAGCACCATTCTCCAGCAAATATTCAACCTACATGTACAATATGTGACCATAATTGACAAAAGGTACCTTATGGAGGGTAGTGAAATGTGTCTTTATAGCCATAAAAATCCAACTTCCTGAGCTCCATTTCTTATAAAATTACTCCACAGGATGCAAAAAGTTACTATGTAACTTTTAGAAACAATGGTTCTTCAACAGAGCACTCACAGGTTGATATTTTTCATTATATTTGATGAATTTTAAAATCCGCCATAGGGTACCATTTGTCAATTATGGTCACATATTACACATAACATTAATCATTATACATGAGCTATAAGCCAGTGACTCATTCTTACCATTTGAAGTGTAACAAATGCTGATGCCCAATTCAATAGAGTTTGACCAACATCATGCATAATGATTAATATCAATACCTAAATCATTAATAACTGAATCTAATGGCTAGTGGTTCTTTGGTAGAGCTTTCCTTCCTTCACACAATAATAGTAACATTAGCTCAATAAGATGCAGGACATCAAGGACACATCTAAAAAAATAATAAACAGGAATTGCAGTTCATATATCTATTACAACAATTTAGCAATGAGTTCAACCAAGAGAATTACAAAGGACGCTACTCTTAGTACTCTAGAGTCTAGTTATGACCTAACCGACTACATATGTTCCTTACATATACTTCCTATACAATTATACACAAACAACAGGTACACCTGTTAGGATCAACAGCATTTCATGACTGTATAAGGTCCGTGTATGCTTGTACATGTACATGTACCTTGAACGATGTATCATAGTGGATGATAGTACCTTTCATCTCCTTTAATGAAAGAACATTGTTTTCAAATTAAATTTTTCTTACAGTTTAATGGAATCATGCACAATCATCAGACATATCGAGATGAAAGAGCAAAAAAGATAAAAAAAACAAAAGGAGATCAGAGCAGTCATGCAAAACAGACAATATGAACAAATAATGAACAAGTATAGAATATTATTATTGTTATTTAATTTGAAACAACCATTCACTTTAGTAAGCAAATTTCTAGATATTGAGAGAATAAAACTACATAAAACAGAAGTAGTAGTTTATTATTTTTCTAACTACCGTATTTCCTTGAAATCTTTTCACCCTTGAATTATATCCGCACCATTAGAAAGGCTGAATGAAATAATATTCGCCTTTGAATTATTACCGCATGTTGTGCATGCGCAGTAGAATTAATACACATGTTGCCCACGTGTGTTTACATGAGCATTCTCTTATCATAACCTTTGCAATGGCTTCTAAAAAAAGAAATTTTGACGTGGCTTTTAAGCTAAATGTAGTTGAAGAGGCTATGAAAACAAGTAACAGAGCACCTGCAAAAAAGTTTTCTATTGATGAAGCCAGTGTCTATTACTGGAGAAAGCAGAAAGACAAGCTACAATCCACTCCTGGAAAAAAGAGACTTCCTCGTGCCGGTAGAAAAGCAAAACTCCCAAATATGGAAGAACAACTGGCCTCTTGGATTATTGAATTAAGATCAAAAAACTGCCGTGTTACTAGAGCTGCTATTGAATTTACTATTAAAAATTAATATAGTTAATAAAAATTGGAGTAGGTGTGGTTACACTTAAAATGGAGATTGGAGCTGAACTTAATAGTGTTCGCCCTTGAATACTATTTGCCCCTGTATTGTACCCGTAGTGCCCTTGCTTCTGAAATTAATAGTACCCGCGGATAGAATTCATGGAAATATGGTATTATTTATCCTAACATTAAAGACAGAGCTCATATGAATAAGTGTGTGTGCAAAAAAAATTTTACAGGACAAGTACTTTACAAACTTGGCAAAATGCATAAATGGCTATAACTTAAACCAAGGGTAGATAATATTTTAGGTAGAGTGTCTAACTGCCCTATACTGCATGAAATATGTGCGCGTACAGTTTATTCTCACCTATTTAGCAAATAATCTTTGAAGCCAAATGGCGCTAGCAATTTTAGCATTTTGGATCCAGAACCAGAACGAAAATAGCGTTGGTGGGTGTATTATCAATAGTCAAAACCCCACCCAACACCACATACAAAATGAATGAGCTTTTTGTGGAAGAAGAAACTGCTTACAGTCCAGACAATGGTGTACAAGACTGCTGCACTTCAGCTGAGAAAAAGAAAGAGGACTAGAGAGTCAAGTGGCCAGCAGGAGGATGATCAAACATGTCTCTGTGCGATTGTATCAAGCATCTCTCTCCATTATAAACATGCCTATTACAGACATAAGTAGTTATCTTAATGCTTTCATCATAAAGATCTTGCAGCATAAAGTCAGAGAAATCGTCAGAGACCAAGTCATTACTTGAAGCTGCCATTTTACGTGGTCACATGACTGGTGTTAAATTGTTAATTTTAATAAACGTATAACTATTAATAATAAATACTAAGTTTAATTTTTTGAAACTCTATTCTCTGGTGTAAATAAGTTAATAGAAGTAAACAAAAGAATACGGGAATGACCTGAAAAACTCAATGCACAAATATTTCATGTAGTATAGGGCAGTTAAGACACTCTCCCTAAAATATTATCTACTCTTGCTTAAACTTTAAAAGAGCATTGAAAGAATCAAAACTTTACAACATGCAAAACAATATACAATTATATAGTGTCTTGCATGACTCACCAATTTTGTATATCTTGAGAGGCATTCTTCTACGTAAAATTAGAATTACTTGCTTTACTTTTCATGTAATTAATTTGGCTAACTGCAAGAACGAGGGACAAATACATAGAATGATAGGTACATACATAGGTCATTATGCAACTTAAAGTTCCCGTCATAATTGTAATAAAATTCACCCAAAAAGTTTGAAAAAATATGATATGCATGCCTTTCTCATATTCATCACTTTCATGTATAAGAAGATATCACAAAATCTAAAGTTTACAAATACTTCCAGTCATAGGTTTTAATTAACAATAAACAACGAAGATAATTTTGCAAGTAAAAATCTATAACAAAAAAATTATCCATGTGTGCATTGCTTATTTCCCCAGGTTGAGTATATTCAGAAAAAATCTTGAGTTACCATAAGTAAAGCATACAGAAGCCTCAAAACTAATTTAACTTCCACACCCACTAGGACAAAGTATCCTTATAATAGTATGACCTACGAACTGTATCTGGCAAACGACACCACCAGAAAAATATCACAACAAGGATGGCACGATAATACATGTAAACCGTGAGTGAATTATCACACATTTACAAACTTTTCAGAAAACTGCTATGTCCCTCTAGTAAACATACATGAAAATAGTGACAAGGCTTCAATTTCTCATAATGGAAAAGTGAACTGAAGAGAGAAAGTTCATTTTGCAATAAAAAAGGAGACTCTTACTTTATAAAGCACAATTATTCTGAGATGGTGAGTGTTTTCCCATTGCTTAACCAGTATATATGCTCCATTGCTGTAAACTACAGCTTCATAGTAGTACACACAACTTGTTCTGCAACAGTTTCTGTAGCCAGAAAAAGTGTACAATGATATACTTTTAGTCCCATGAATCAATTCTTCAAACTATAGCAGAAAGAAAATGTAAAGTAAGTGTCACACCTGTAATGTATTATAATAAATCAAAGGTGTACTTAATAATTAGTGTATGCATAACTATACATGTCATTACAAGTACAGTTACACCACATCTCCCCTTTTCCAAGCAGTGAGACGAACTGGTGGTTGAATCGGGGTTCCAGTGGTAGAACGGGTTGATACTCGTGGGGTAGAGGTAGGAGGTTCCTTCTGGCTCTAGGGCCCCTAGGGGTGCTGTAGGGATAGGGATGAGATCCCTTCTGTTCCTCCTGGTAGTAGTACCTTGGTCAGTTGCAACCTGATAAGATCTCGGTTGACCAGAGGGTGCAGTAACTACTCCTGTAGCTTGTGCTCGACCTCCTGTCCTTATATAAACTTCTCTGTTATCAGGTAGAGAAGGAAGTGATCTGGTTTTGTAGTGATGGTCATAATTTTGCTTCA